TGGTTAGTGTTTTACCTCGCTCGCAACTGCATAAGGTCATAATATATGAGGGCGCGGGACACATTAAACATTTTCAGTACGTTGGAAACTTTGAATTTTGCCCAGGTAGCCGCCAAAGCCTACTCTTATCGATTTTAGAGTACCAAGGGATCTTTAACGTGTGCAACTTGCACCCGGATTCTCCGAGATTTGTCAACCTTGACCGAGAAAGCTAGGAGTAGATCTTTCTTTCCATAAGGTTAGGGGTGTGGCTGAAAGACAGCAATAAGAAGGAGCCAAGGAGTAGCAGTAGAAAGGCCGCAAAAAGAGTCAAGAGCCCAGACGAGGGGATATAGGAGGTGAGGGATGGGGGCAGAAAGTGGAGACGAAAGCAGACGACAGAACATTGCTATAGAGCAGGAAAGGGGGTGAAAGGAGACAATTTTAGAGAAGAACATTTTCGTGTAACTACCCGGATTCGAACCCGGGACCTTTGAATGAGAGACGAACACCTTAACCTCTAGGCCACGAGAGCCCTTGGACTTGCTGTAAACCATACTAATGCAATCCTCTTTCGTCTGAATGACTACCCTCAAGCGGTCTTAGGGTGACAATCAACGGTACACCCTACCGATTTTACATTTTCTTTTCTTTTCTTTTTGGTATGAAGACGTTTTCACCCCCCTCCCCCCATCGAAACAATAAAAATTGTTAATGGGGCGAGGTTTTTTTTCAGTTTGAGGGCGTTTTACACACACAGATTTTGTTTTAGTAAGCGTTTTACAGCACTCGCAACACGCCAATTAGATAATTCATAAGTCACGAAGATTAGACGTGCTACAACAGAGTACAACAAACACAAAAGGAAGGAGGAGAGAAAAAGACATTAAACCTTTGATAGGAAAGAAGGAGCAAACCACACAAGAGCACCCCCCCCCCTCAAACCACCAGCAACGCACACAGAAACATTATACAGTTGGCACGTTGTACCATGTGTTTGCAATAACAATAATATATCCACAATATACATGTACCCCATTTGTCAAAAACATGGTAGCCTTTTTAGTTTTGGTAAGAGTTTTACGGCACTTGCAACACAATAAGGTCATAAGAGCGCCAGAAGATTAGAAGTGCTACAAGAGAGTAACACAAATAAAAAAGAATGAGGAAAGATAAAGACGATAGATGTTTGATAGGAAAGAAGGAGCAAACTACACCAGAGCATTCTCCAACCACCAACGACGCACACAGAAACAGAATACAGTTGTCACGCTGTACCGTGTGTTTGCAATTTAAACATAATACCCACAATATCCCCCATTTGTCCATAACATGGTAGTCTGGTCACACCAGTCTGACTTAACAGGTTGTGAGCTGGTCATTGCACTCAGCTTTTTGTGATAAAGAGCATTTGTTTTGCTCAATTTCCCTCTCAACAACAAGATCTTTTGTTTGTTTCAGTAAGTGTTTTGTGGCACTTGCAACACAATAGGTCATACGTGCCCAAGATTAGAGGTGTTATAAGAGAGTAACAAACATAAACAAGACGGAGGGGAGATAAAGGCAATATAATATTATGTTTGATAGGAAAAAAGGAGCAAACCACATCAAAGCACACGCCAACCACCGACCATAAAAGGAGGAGCGATAAGGATGATAGTTGTATGATAGGAAAAAAGGAGCAAACCACACCAGAGCACCCGTCAACCACCCACCATGGTAGTCTTGTCGCGTCAGTCTGACTTAATAGGACGTAAGCTGGTCATTGCACTCAGCTTTTTTTGTTTTTAAAGAGCATTTGTTTTGCTCAATTTTCCGCTCAACAGCAAGCTTTAAAGGCTTTACATTCTATGTTATATAGTATGATGAGCCACGCCGAGATCCACAACAACCAGGGTAGAAGCATGAAGCATAACGCCAGCACAGAGTTGAAATGACCTCTCTCCTTTGAGCCTCCGGGAGACCTTTGGACTAATAATAATAATAATGACAGGATTTTTATAGCGCATAGTTCATGCCCCCGTCCTGTGATCTTGGTCAGTGCGTGGGCCATAAGCCAGGTGGCTTAAATTTTTGCCCTCGAGGCATTATTAATTTAGCGCCGTGTGTAGGAGACAGAGGAACAAGAAACATGTCCTCACATATTTGTGAGGCATCGTTGTAAAATACATTGTATAAATAAAGATAAAATAAATTACACTTTTATTTGTCACAGAAGGGCACTTTGGTTTACAATGGCAAACACACATACATAAATACATAAACCATGAGCTCGTTAAAGTAATTAAATTGAAAAAATCAGAAATTTTCCCTGCGTGTTTGGTGATTAGTATTGTCGATTTTATATTGGCACAGCACATTTTATGACCATGTAAAACACGTTTCTGTACAGATTTTATAGAACATTTTTTATCGAAGGCACACAAAATATAGATTTGCAGTTTCCAAGGCTTGGGAAGTCACCAAACTTTGACGGCAATTTCCTCAAAAGTTTTACCTCTTACACTAGACGACTCCACATTCAATGGACAATATCTCGCTTTCTTATCAAGATAGACGAGCATTTTTTCCTCAAAAGCAAAGCAAGTAAACTGGCTCTGAGATCGTACCAATGACTCTTATGTTTGTTTTTGTGTTTTGAGTAAAGAGAACCACATCGACACAATACTGGTCATTTAGTGCTGGGAAAAAGTAAGACAGACAAATACAACCGAGGGAAAGTGAAGAGGTAAGACATTCCAGTAGCGCCCTCCAACCACCCGCTAACTCTTTATACTCCAAAACAAACGCATGCCTGATTCCACCACGTCTTGGCACATTTTATGACGACACCCACACAAACATTGCAAGTGCAGAGACATTACATTATCAAAGTAAAATAAGTGACGACGTCAGCATAGAATGAAAGAGGAGACAACAACCAGTCGTATCAACATGGGACAAATAGTGTTTTTTGGGGGGTTTTTTGGTGAGTTTTACAGCACTTACAACACAATAAGGTCATATACGTGCCGAAGATGAGAAAGAGAGAGAGAGAGAGAGAGAGAGAGAGAGAGAGA